TTTAAACACGTGTCGGTGTAATACATCATCTGCTCGATAGGAGGTTGGAGATTGGGAAGGAGAACAGTAATAGTGATTAATGCGTAAGAAATGCATTCTAAAGGAATGAGTTTATATTCTATGCCACTACCTCAAGCTGACCCTCAAGCTCGAGTTCCTTCAAGATCAAGCGGGGAAGAGCTCGATGGCCACAGTACTTCTTCTCGGCATATGCCACCACCTTGCCTGTGAGGCCATACCTGTATCCATCTATGAAGCGCCACATACAGGTGAAAAATCGACATATAGAGATAACGCTAACTGTTCTGAGAGCCTTTACAACATTACACTCTAAGTCGGCCTTGAGTGATGACTCTGGATACATGCGGTATTCATGCTTGCTGTGCCTCCAACACTGCTCAATCGGATTGAGTTCGCAATGAAACTTTGGAAAGAAGAGAGCCCGGAAGCCTTGCTTTTCACAGTGAGTTTCAAGGCAGAATTTGACCTTTGCAAAATCTGGCTGATTAAAGAGAATCCAATGGCAGCAGCAGTTCAATGTAGGTGGCTCACACTTGAAGTCCATATCACACTGTGCACGAAGACCAGTAACATTGATTCTGTGCTCCTGTAAAATGTTCTTCATACTCTTGAAGACACCAGCCCGCTTGTGACTAAAGAGAAAGTAGGGAGACTGCAGCGAGCCATCTGCAAACTTGGCACCGGCCATTGGTATCTTCTTGGTCAATGCAGTCTGACCATCTAGGCCATACACTGGTTTTCCTGTCGCTCTGTTTGTGATAGGAACCTTTGCGCTAAAAAAAATTGGACTTCTTCTTCAATGTCGGTTTCATCGACATGTGTCTTGCTGAGAGGGTGTCAGGGGCTCACTTCAGGTGCGTAGATGCATTGTTATAGATAAAAATATAATCTTCATTGGGGTAGTGGCACTGCAAGATGTTCATGGCTTTTTTTGCTTGTTCTAGAATGTTCTCATTCGTGAAATAGCCCTCACGATTCTTTCCTGCTTTGAACAGGACCCTTGCTGATTTAGCACTGTCTAGTGAGGTGAGCCATCCATAATCTGCTGAAACAAAGTCGGCTACCATTAACAACACATCTTTGCCTTTCGGCTTAGGCTTAGGACCTTTTCTGGAGGTCTTCTGCCAATAAACAATCCACCTATCATGCACATAGAAGGTCGACTTGTCATGGTACCACATGATCACACGACGAGTCCCTGCATTCATCCTTCAGTACTTCGGGACAGAAACCTCAGTGCCGTCCTTCAACCAGAGCTGCAGCTTGAAATCAAGCTCTTCGAGAGCAGGAAGAAAGATTTTGTTTCAGTAGTCAACCACATCAGAATGTTTGTGGCCATCGATAAACTGTTCTTTCAGTGCCTTCATCCAGCAGTAATCAAGTTGATGTATTCAGGCTTGCACAGTCAATAAGGATATTCCTTTATCGAGACTGTGGCGAAAGTGAACAGCCAGATCGTTCAAGAACTCAATGATGTCCAAAGCTTGTACATATTTCCTGATGCTTTGAAGGTGTAGATTAATCTCTGTTTTGAGCTCTCGCTTTTTGTCTATCAATGTCTTGTTTCAAATCCCCATTTTTGAGTGCGGGAGTGCGTAGCGATTGGTAATGAAGGTACGCGTCCATTCCCGCAAGTTTCTTGCTTGCCACTCTGTCTCCTCGTAATTCTGTACCACCTTGTAAGATGCAACCATCCAGACACTATGGGCATGGGCCGATTTTAGGCCACCTGAAATGTTCTGGTCAGGTCATCAGAACGGTTTCCTTTCCGGGAACTTACTGGCAACTTACTGGCAATCGGAAATGATGAATTTATTGTCATTTTCATAGAGATTTTAGGTGTAAGAAAATGCAAAATATTGTGTAATCTAAAATTATCCTAAAATGTCTTAAGATGGTTAAATGAGTGGCACATGTTGACACAGCAGAAAGAGCCAGAAAAGCTCCTATTTCTGACGACTTTGTGGCACATTTCAGGACGCATGAAAGAACATATGCAGATATCATTTCAGAGGCGCCAAAACCCAAATTTTTCGAATTGCAAAAATTACCAGATTAGATTAGATTTTTGCCTCATGTCAGCCACGAGGAAAGACTCTGGACAAAGATACTTTCTGGGTTGCTGATATAATAACTGCGGGGCACATTTTTGATACATTTCAGGTATATTTCCAGTCACATGT